GGTTAAATACCAGCATTCACAGGGCCTGAAAGGCAAGTGAAACTACAAGCCTGTAGCTGTAACACAGGTGGCATTTGCTAAAGTAAGGAGGAAAGCTTTTTGGTAAAACTGTGGCAAAAGAGGAAAAACAGGCAGAGAAGAGAGGCCACAGAAAATTAAAGACCATCTCTGAGGTTCCTTCAAGGCAAGATTCTCTAAAAACATTAAAAAAGATAGATTGCTTAAAAGTCTAGAGCATTTTGTAACATACCAGAACGGAAAAAGCAATATTGTATAGAAATCATACCCTTGTAAGTGTCTGTAGTGAAAGAAATCTAACTTCTTTTAGGCCTCTCAATTTTTACCACTTGCACTGTTGTCATCGGGGACTGTTAAACTCCAAATTCACTATCAGCAAACACCCCCCATGCACAGGGCCAGAGTTTGTTTCCCTGTCCTTTTTTATGTAAAATTTTAGATTCTCGCCCCCAGAAACTCCACAATTTGTCAAAAAATAAAGATGTTTTGAAAGTATTTTAAGGGGAGAGATAGCCATCAGCATGGCTCTACTCCACTCCTGCCCCCAAGCTGCATTCATGTCAAGTTTCCAGCAAGTTGGTTGTCAGGATGCTTTACCTATTCAGTCCTGCTAGGCCACTGCCATGATTAATTTTGGGGCATAGAAGTGGCAAGGAGAGGTACTGTCAGCAGAGGTGAAAAATTCAAAGTGTGCTACCCCAGCACCACAGGAGAAACAGGGAGCTGTGTCCTGAGGCAACACTCACTCATCCACAGGAATGTCCCACTCATAGGAATAAAGAACAGAGCTCAAAATCAGTCAAAACTGGGAAAGGGGACAGTGGGTTTGCTAGCAAGTCCCATAGATAGATGGACACATTCAAATCCATAAGGGATAAAAAAAAGTCTCTGCCCTCCTGCTCCTATCCCTAGATCAGAGGCCAGGAGCTGCTGGGCCACTTCAAAGGTTTCTTCAGTGGTGTGTGGGCTGTTTTCACCACAGCCACACTTTTTGAAGGCACCTCTTCTTGTCAATATGTTTTTCTCCACCAGAAGAGTATAAAGCAGAGGGCTGATAGATTTAGCACTTTCTTTTCTCCCTTTCATGCTTTGTGCATGCCTAACAACTGATTTCTGGGGTCCACTTGAACACTCCGATCTCTGTGAGCTATTGTACAGCAAAAAAAAAAAAAAAAAAGTGCTTGTGGAATCTGACCTATATAGTTGTGTTTGTTGTCTTTGGACTACCTTTCATCAGGCAACATTCAAATACTTTGCTATCTTTCAATAGATCCTATGATTCCTAATAAATCAAACAGACATCTCAAACAGAAAGAAGGCTGACAAGTTTTTCTTAGATTTTGTTCTCACTGAAAAACAAATTTTAAACATTGCTTCAGCTTGCTTGCTTTCTTCCTTTTCCCCTTTTCCTTTTCCTTCTCCTTCTTTTTCTCTTTCTTTCTTTCTTTCTTTCTTTCTTTCTTTCTTTCTTTCTTTCTTTCTTTCTTTCCTTCCTTCCTTCCTTCCTTCCTTCCTTCCTTCCTTCCTTCCTTCCTTCCTTCCTTTCCTTCCTTCTTCCTTTCTTTCTTCCTTTCTTTCTTCCTTTCTTTCTCTTTGACACACATCTGTAATACTCAGGAAACTTGCCCACTGGATTGATGTATCTCCAAGTTGCTGTTCTCTTCCTGGAGCATGAAGGTAGGGCTGTCCCATGACAACACAAATCACTCCCCATGGGCTGCCTCTTTCTGGAAACAATGAAAGAGGAAGAAAAGGAGGGGGCAAGAAGTTCTAACTGCAATTTTTTGTTGTTAGTTATAGTTTTTGGGATGTTTTTTCTTCTTCTTTTTGTTCTCATGAGTCACCTGCACAGTGTGATGGATTTCTACGTGAAACAGAAGTGGCCAGCACAGCACTTGGTGTGGACATGCCGCTGGGATCCTCTGGCCAAGCTCAAGGTGAAGATGAGGCAGCTCCAGCAGCAGGGCCACCTGGGGCCTTGGGGACCACAGGGTGCAGGTGACAGCCAGGGAAGCCAAAGTTACCCAGGGAGAGCTGCTCTTCAAGACTGACATCTAGATCCTGCAGATCTATCGCTCAGGAGGGAAGTGAAACCTGGTGAATGTGGTTTGGGACACAAAGGAAAGACATGAAAGCTCAAAGGATTTTCAAGAAGAAATTATTTTGTGGTTCTGGACCATTAGCACATTTTCGTCTTACTGAGCCACAACCACCTGAAGACCCAAGAGGTTCCCAATATCTGAGGGCATGTTCTGCCTCTTCTCTGCCTTCAGGAGGGGCGAGACAGTGCAGTAAGTATTGGCTCTGCACGTCCCAGCAGCTGGCAATGCACACTAGGCAGACAAGGTTCCATGCAATATCTTGAATATTAGCTTGTTATTTTTCATGTATATAAACCATGTAGGGTTGTGTGTTTGCATGCCTGTGGATCCTTACATAGGTGCACTACGTCATCTATTTTTACACTGTTTAATTGTTTGTAAATGTAAATGTACCATAAACTGTTACAGCGTGGAAACACAGAGGATTGTGTGCTCTGCAAGCCTTTTAAATATACTATAACACAAATCAAAGCATCTTCTGACATCAAAAGTGAGGGTGGTGCTAGGAAGAAGTGCTGGAAGACTTTGAAATTATGTTTTTCCTTTGCTTGTATTTTTTCATAAATGCGGGCCCCAAAATACTTTTCTTCCTGTGGTATTTTGAGTGTCATCATATCACATGATGGAGGAGTATAATTGCAATCTATCTGTTGCACTTCTTAACCTGTAGGAGTGTCCTTATCTGTTAGATTAATTAATTATGAACAACTGATAGCTTTAAATGTGAGAATAAGGGATTTGCACACCTGCCAGAAAATCGGAGTTAAAGGAGGAAGTATGGCTATTCAAACCATTATTTCCCAGTTTGAGTACCTGTACTATTGATACCCACGGCACTTGCTGAAAGAAAGAAGCAGGTGTGTTTCTTTTATGAAACTTTTCTAAAGAAGTCAGATTTAGAAATTGAACATATTTGATTTTATTTTATCTGGATTTTTCTAACACTGTAAGAGAATGAAAAACCTAGGAATGTGTAAGTCCTTCCTTTGACCTGTCAAGATAAATAGTGAATGAAGTTTTAAAAGGCAAGCAGTGCTCATTTTGGCAAGCTTTGTCATTTAGTTATTCTTCCTTACAAGCAGGAAAATGAAAACTTTGATAGTAGATATGACTCAAGGCAAGTGAGGGTTGCAAAATTAGATCCTTGGCTGTATAGAGACAGTTATATTAGGATGAAATCACTAGGGGTATAAATTCAATGACTTCATATTAAGACATGTTAATCCGGAATTTAACATGGCCTTAATTTACTGCAGTTTAATCCTCCTCATTTTCACTTTCTGTTGGGAACTTGCACTGCAAAACATGAAAATTGTCATGATACCAGAGTGCTTTGGTACTGTGTTCCATTAAACTTGTCAAATTAAGATTAATTTCTCTGTAATCTCAGAGGTTGCTATTTTGAGGTGCATTTTGGAATACTCTGAAGTTGTAGCATGAAATAACCAAATTAATTGGTGTCCTGTTTGGTGGGTGGCTTTCACTCGAGAAAAGGGATCCTCAGGACACTGTCTATGCTCTTTTTTGGTAAGAAAACATATAAATGTACCTTTGTTAGGGGCTGGAAATTAGAGGTACGAGAAGGAGGTAAATAAAATATGCACAGACAATCTCTGCTTTCAGTGATCTATACCCTCTGACCTGTCCACAAAATGTTTAGTTTTGCTGCGGTAAATATCAAATACTGGAATACTAAATTCTTTGTTGGGCAGAAATGATCTAAATTTCACCTAGTGTAGAGTAACAAAAAATATTTGAACTTAACCCTTGCCAGACTCCCATCAAGACTATTTTAATACCTAGTTTTCTATAACCACAGTTTTCCTGTCTGCATTTTTATTAGTGTTACCCCTTGACTTACAGACAAAATATGGCTCTCAGGTAGTACAAGGCAATGTGACCAATATATTTTCCAGAAAGCAAACATCTTGTGCAGGATTCACCCAGAAAGGACTCCAGTTTCACACTAAGGGATTAGCAGAGCTTGATCCAGGTGGGTATGTCAGTCTGTCTTATTCTTTACCTCAATAAATTAATCACAGAATTATCTTTTGACAGGTCAAGAGCATGGTCATCTAATATTAATTATTCATTCTGTGAAGCCTCAACATGCCTCTTCATCTGTACATCCAACTTTAAATGGATGTAGCTTTTCATTTTTCTAGTAATAACCTTGTTTCTACTCTTCAGCTGAGTCCCTTTGTTTGGCCACCATGGTGGCTGACTGGATGAGACATTTACATTTACAGCTTCTTTTGATGTTCAGTCTTGCCCTGGACAAGTAAGGTACAGAAAGGAAGAGAAGACTGATGAAGGTAAAAGACAAATCCACAGGTTGATGTTATGTGACGAATAAAGTGAACAAAATCACCTCAAAAGCTTTGGTTTACATGGATGCTGAAGAAGCCTTGGCACGTAGCAATCTGGATGAGACCATGTCTTTTCACTTTGATCTTGACATGATGAAGTAGTCACAGAACAAAAGCCCCTGGGATGGGGCAAGCAGCAAACTTGGAACAATATACAATGATTACACATTGTGCATAAGAACACTTTCAGAACTGATGTGGTGTTGGAAATGGTGGTGTCATTAACAACATAAAAAACAACATTAAGCTTCTTACATGACAGTGGCAAAACAGCTTTAGACAACTTTGAGCTTTAGAAAATTTCTGCCATGATTGATTTGGATTATGCAATGATCTTCCAAACTCCTATGCCTCTTCTACACAGTTATTATTAAAATTTTTTTTTTTTTTTTTGTTTTGTTTTGTTTTGTTTTATTTTTAACCTGGATGAAGACATAATAAACACACACAGGGAAAAAAAAAACAAAAACAAACAAACAAACAAAAAAAAAAAACCAAAAAAAAAACCAAGAAAAAGAGAATGATAGAACAAGTATTTTACACAGAATGACCCAAAAATCATAGACTTTAAAGCCCTTCTGCAGAATACTCTCAGAAAGTAAGGAACTGTGCCTCCAGTCCACATACTTGAATAATTTCTCAAACATCCCCGTGTCCTAAATATTTATTTTCATTTATTAAAAAAATGTTTTAAAGTGTAGTCCTCAGGGGTACAGCTGACGCCCCTTATCAGTATTTCCACTAACATACTGGATTGCACATTCCATAGAAGACCATAAAGTGCTGTAGCATCAAGGTTTTTTTTTAAATTTAATTTGGAACTTCTTCACCCTTTCCATAATTATTTTCATTATTATTTTTACCTTGTAGCTCCTATATTCTTGTACTGACACATAAGAAGGTCCTTAAAGGTCTTCTTGAAGGTGGCGTTGCAGAGCGCGTAGCAGGCGGGGTTGACGGTGCTGTTGATGTAACAGAGCCAGTAACCGAGGGTCCATACGGTGCCAGGGATGCAGGAGGTGCAGAAGCTGTTGATGAGCACCATCACATTGTATGGGGTCCAGGTGATGATGAAGGCCAGGAGGATGGCCAAAATCGTCCTTGTCACCTTTTTCTCTCTAGAAGGGGGTGGTTTCTTTTTGGCTGGCTGCTTTGTCATCTTGACGATTTTCCGGGCTACGCTGTTCTGCTTCTCCTCCCTGTTCGTGCCTACGATCTCCACGGTAGTGTTGGTAGGAGCACAGCAGTCCCCCTTTTGGGACTTGGTGACTATCCTGATGCATGTCAGCTTGGAATTCTCTGCTTTGACATGGTCTTGGGAGGTAGAAGCCTGTCTGGCATCTTTGGTAGCTTCATCCTCTTTCAAGTTGGAAGCGACCACACTGATGGAGGTGGAGTCGTTGGAGCTCTCCTTCTCACCTTGAACACAGTTATTGGTCACAGTCTCTTCACTGGTTTTTCCATTCTGAATTTTGCTGTGCTCCAACCCATCCCCGCTGGTTGAGATATTGTTATTGTTTGGTTTCACTATTTTACCTTGGACAAGGCTGGGGGAAACTGTTTCTTGGTTTTGGGCAGCTTCCTTTTTTCCTTTCTTTATCCGACTCTTACTGGCTCGAGAGATTTGCCAGTAAAGGACAGTCATGATGATAACAGGCAAATAGAAGGCTGCAATGGCAGTGCCAAAAGTGACAGCAGTGTTGGAAAAAAACTGGATGTAGCAGTCCCCATCTGGGACAGTCCTTCCTCCCACAATGAATTGCCAGAAGAGAATTGCAGGGGCCCAGAGGATGAAGGACAGCACCCAGGCAGCTGCGATCATCATGCCGGCCATCTTCGTGGTCCGCTTCACGGGATATGTCAGGGGCTTGGTGACACAAAAGTACCTGTCAAAGCTGATAATGAGCAGGTTCATTACAGAGGCATTGCTGACCACATAGTCAAGAGCCAGCCAGAGGTCACACACCACGGGCCCCAAGGGCCAGTAGCCTATCACAGTGTAGAGGGTGTACAGGTTCATGGAAAAGATACCGATGATCAAGTCAGCGCAGGCCAGGCTGAACAGGAAATAATTGTTGACAGTCTGGAGGTGCCTGTTGACTTTGATTGACACCATGACCAGGATGTTCCCAATTATGGTGACTAGGCTGAGTGACCCTGCCACCAGGACGATGAACACCACCTCGACAGTTTTATAGCGGCTCTCCAAGGCCATCACATTTTCAGAGGAAGAGTTTATGTACGTAGAGTTATTCATTTTGCTTCTGATAACAAGATACCCAGTTACAACTTAATCCTGCAGAGGAAAAAAAAGAAAACAGATACCATGAGGAAGTTAGTCCCTTTGCCTTTAAGGAATGGATCCCAAAAAAAAAAAGACTTGACAAAAGTTTAAAGCTAGATGTATTCAGGAAAAACCAGTCAGCTTTGGCTAAAGGAAACATCTTACAGTGTACAGTTTAGAATAACAGAACAATAGGCTAGCTCTAAATATGTGAGAAAGGCACACATTTGGATGGAAAACTACATTTTTAAGTTCTCAGATGCATTTTCTCTTTGTTATTTTTTAAAACTAATATTGACTTGAATATTTTGGAACTGAACCTGCATATTATTTTCTTTCTTGCTAACAAAATAGTTCACTTTGCTCATTTCAAACCCCATTCCAAATAGAAAGTCTAGACTGGAGGGTGTAACGTTCTTATAACCCAAAGTGAAGCTGTGATCTACTGAGAGACAGATCATGGGAAGGAGATCTCTGTTTCTGTCTTTCTTTTGTTCTCCATCTGGGCATGATTCTGTGAGATTTATGGAAAGGGTTTTTATCATATCTCCCCCCAATTTTCTTACCCTGCAGTTCCTTTTTTAGACAATACATACAAAGATTCTGGCACTTCATCAAGTTAATTAGTCTGTCAATAAACAAAAGAGGGTAGGTTTTGAAGTTAACAGAGTTTGTAAACTCACCTTAGTTGAGCATTTGCTTATCTAGTTAGATCCAAACATATTTTATTTCTATTTTTTTTTCAATTTCAGTAAGATTAAAGTTATTTTTTTACTTACTTTTGAGCATTTGTACCTGGGTAAGGCACTGTTGTTTGTTTGGGTTTTTTTTAAACATGGTATTATCTTTTCATGCTTGCTTCATTGCACTTTTCCCATTATTTTTCAAATCATAATATTTTTAATCTGCGTCACATAAAGCTAAACCAAAAGGTCTGAAATAGATATCAGGGTAATGCTAAATAAAGAAACAGATAAAAATCAGTTCTGTTTACACATAGCAATTATTTTTGTGCCCCTTATACCCTACTGGCAGTGCTCAATAAATAGTAATTAAATTGCTAGTGATATACATTTAATAGAAGAGTAAGAAAACAGTGCATGCTTTTGCCTTCAGGCTATATTCTATCCTTTTGTGCATCCCCTGGAAGTCAATAGAATGCGCTAGAATTGTACAGCATCTGAGTGCTCATTATTTATGAGCTGTGCTCAAGGGATTATTGAAGCATGAAGGCCAGATGTGACAGGGAAGTTAGAGTTTTTTTCTAATTACAGTATTCTGCTGGTTTTACCCCCACACATAAGGCATCACTTCTTTAAGAAGGAGTCTCTAAACATGGTGGTGCAATCAAAGGAAGACAAAAAAAATTATCTATGTATGTCTCCTCTACACACCAGGGATTAGAAAATTCTCCTCTGGCCCCTCTGACTAACCTGCTGATGCACAGACATATGCAGTCCACGTCACTTCAAAGGAGCAATGCATTTTTACTGTCATTTCAGAACTGTGCTTTTTTTTTTTTTTTTCCCCTTTTTTTCCAGATGCAAAGGAAAGATGATGCAAAATGTCAACACAGTGGCAAAACCCCTTCTGAACTCTTGGAAAAATAAGCAACCCTGTCTCTGTGGAAAAGTCAAAATGCTAAACCAGAGTAAAAGGTTTTTTGTCTGAGGAAACTTTGTAATCTTGAAATTTATATTTATAGAAATACAACTGGCAGAGGGTGGGGCTCATGCACTTGCCTTTGCTGTCAAAAACAGCTAACATTTTTTTGCCAATTCTGTGTTGAAGTGAATACATGAATAAATAGACAAACATAAGGTTCGACAGACATTTATTTCTTGCTATCTATTTACAGCTACAACACTAAAATCCTTAAGATCAGGCTCAAGATAACGAAATGAGGAAGAGGAATGCTTCCGTTAAGTGTGTCCTTTGTGCAGTAGGAATAGGCTGAGGGGAAGGTAGTAGAATTTTCACTCTGTGCAAAAACATTGATGGGACACCTTTAATATACAGGACTGTCATTTCAGCAATTCCAAGTCTATTTTTCTCCCAAAGCTTCACACCTGAGCAGCTGATTATCCATTTAGATGTGTAAGACATCAATTTTTTGGACAAGCTAAGAATTTCTCCCAACCAGAACCATTTTTGAACATTCTTAACAGAATGCATTTTTAATGAAGAGGCAAAATCATGCATAGAGATATATTGATTAAAAAAAAATCAGCTGAAGAAGGTTCATGATCTAGTGCTCTGCAGCTACCTCTGGTGACAGAAAGTGAGTGGGGGAGCAAAATTCAAATGAGTGGATTAAAGATGAAAAAAATTATGCTTTGTTTTAAGGAAACAAGTGTTTCTCTACAACATATTTTTGAAAGACTGTTCAGAAGTTCTGTTTTCATTCCACTGAAGAACAAAATTAATTTTAAAAACTTGAAATTTATAAAACCAAATTACCATTTCCCAGCTGACTTTATGAGTCTTTTCAGGTGAAATTTTTACCCACTTTCACTGTAAATATTGGCAATTCAGTAACAATTCACCTGATTTTATGGGGATCTATGGGATGCAAGGAGATGGATGAAAGCTAAAAGCTAATCTTCCTTGCTAGGAATAGGATTTCATTGTGTTAATATGAATGGAGGCAAAGCAAAGGAGTCTCTTTCCCTCTTTTTGCACAAAATTTTCCAGCCCTTAAGAAGGCTGCTAGCTCTGGGCTGCAAATTACAAGAGCAGTTACAGCTTTCTGAGGTACAGGGAAATATCTGCTGTCGCCAGCTCAGTAAAAGCTTCCCTTTTCCTGCATCAGTGTGATGGTAAAGTGAAGCATATTTTGCTGTGTGTGTTGATGAGAGGGTGTAGGGCTGGAGAGACAAATCTGATTTCACTGACATACGTGGTCACTGCTCAGAGTACTAGAATTACCCACGCAGAGGCAGGGGTGTGCATGCTTCCTAACCCAAGAGCCCCTGCAATCCTCTGGGCTCCTTCCTGTTGGCTCCAGCAGGATTGGCATCAGGTGCACAGAGAGGGTTCTGTTTCTCATCGTGGCTGCTTGCTGCCTCGCTGCAGGACTGCCTGAGCACTACTTCTGTTTTTGTCTTGCCACCGAGCCCATCTCTCCTGCTGCTGAGGCAGTTGTTATGGGAGCAGATGTTATTCATCAGGCAGACCTACGGGGCAGAGGCATTTTAAAGTAATATGACCTCCTGTGTGAGAAATACCAGATCTTATTCTTGAACAAACAGAGCTCTCCTCTGCAAGCCCATGGGTGTTTGTGTGAGTTGCACAATATGGCACTGACTCCCATGGGCTACCATAATTTATCCTTCTATACTAAGTGCATTCTTGCTAAACAGAGAAAACCCAGAAAAGGCAAGGAATGTCTCTTGTGACCTTAAAAGCAACCAAGATAATTTTCTGAAATATATTTCAAAATATATATGACTTTTTTGGAGTGGAAATACCATAATCACTGCACAGAAAATGTCCAAAGCAAAGAAATCCACATATAAAATAATTCATTGTTTGATATTTGAGATGTACTTGGGAAACATTCCCAGTGCAGTAGTTCCTCCCTCTAAAGAACTCACAGTACTGAAAATCATTCCCTTCTATTGACTGGGCAACAGTTTAGGGCACAGCTGGGGCATACTTAAGCATTGCATCCTGCTGAGTTGTGCTTTCCACTTACCCTGACAGGAGCACATCCATTTGGTGGAGGCAAATTTTGTAGCAAACATTGTAATTTTAAATTTAAAATATATCTCCAACATCTGCCACAAAACAGACTACAGAAATGTTTGGTATATTGAAAAAAATGGCTGATACATCACGCCTGTCAGAGTTTGTTAGACCAACTCTTCCTCTGTATTGTGCATATTGACAAGTTAAATTTAATGGATTTACATTTAAAAGATTTAATGTCTTCTTTGAATTCTCTGAAACCATATAAAGGTCAAGACATGAAAGAGGCAACAAATGATCAGCACCTGAAAGTTATATTTGTGATTTAAATAGGATTACCCAAGAATGTATGTGCATTGTCATTCTCAGGGCACATCTAAGCATCTAAGTCTCAAGCAGAAGGAAATATACTTCTTTAACTTTCTGGGTTTTTTATCTAGTTCCTCTTTAGCCCAAACCTATGTAACATATATTTGATGTTTGCTTTAGTAATAATGGAATGTTTTTTTTCCTGAAATGATTTTTATCCTGAGCTGAATTGATTTAGATTCTAAATTTCTTTCTGGTACCATTTTAACTCACATTAACCATTTAACTCACAGTGTGAAAACAAAAAGAGAGAAACAAAATCCTTTAATCTATGATACATATCCTAGGTCTGTTAGCCAGAATTTATTGCAGACTTTAAGACAGAATATAGATATAGTCTGGACTTTTGGTAAAAATACATTTCAGAAAATACCCAAACACCTGAAGACTAAGATCTTCGCCACATGTATTATCTTCTGCAATCCTTTTGAAACTAGAAACATCTTTGCTAAGTGTTTACTGTCTTGGTGTGGTCTGTTACTTTTTTTCACTTCCATGCCCTTTTGTTTATCTCAATTAACACGTCCTACAAAAAAATATCGCGTGGGCCTGCTTGGATCTACTTTTCCCCATCTAATTGTGAAGGATACCTAAGGGCAAAATTAAAAATTTCTGCACAGATCTTGAAACAAGAAGTAGATCAGAGTCAGAAAATATGAAAAAAAAGCAAACCAACAGTTTTCCACAAGCAACAATTGAAACAGGGCAAAAATGAAATTATTCCCCCAAAAGCAGCAGGGGACTGTACATGAGTAGGTGTCAATGCTGGCACCAAAACTGCTGCCTCAGGGCACGTTAAGGTCTGAGGATTTGTAAAGCTGTTCACTACAACTTGCACACTGCTGCTCTTGCAGCCTAAAACTGTATGGAAGAAAATATAGAAAAACTATGTAGAAGTAAATATAGTGTCATGAGCCAAACTTGTTGATATTAAATATGACACAAGTAGAAGT